CCTTTCCACAAACCCTTCTGGAAGGCCCACCAAATCTACACTTGGCTGGACAATGAGAAGGCAGATAAATATCACGTGACCTTAGAGTATGGTTAGAGGAATCTATGCAACACTTGAGTTTGGATTTCTCTCACAATGTAGAGGAAGAAACACAGTCATCTGGGTTTGTAGAGATTAGGAAATTAGAGGTGAAAAAACAAAGCTATGAGAATGGGTATTTCTCAGAGATGCTATAGGTGGACAAATAGGGCTAAGGGCCAACCCTAGATAACACGATTCCAAAGGGAGTCAGATATAAGAAGGATAACCATAAAAGGCTTTAAGGAGAAAGAGGGTCAGGATTCTGATCCCATGTGAGGAAGTGGTGGCCAGTGCCCAACAGTGGAACAAGCCACATCATGGCAGCATGAGTGCACTGGCCTTGGCCAGAGGGCATTCACCGTCAATGTTTAAGAATGGTCCCCCTCCTATGAAGGGAACAAAAAAGAGGGAGTTAAAATACATTTATTGGTGATGTGCATGTAGAGCAGAGAGCACATGCTTTACAGGGAGCAGCTGAGGCGAGAAAGTAGAACGATGAGTGTAGACCACTATTTCAGACTTCTTATTTGAAATGTAAACCCAGTGAATAATGAAAATATCTAAAATTAGATTTGGAGGGTCTGCTGTGTGACACAAAGATTAATAATAATGTTTCAAATTCCCTTTGCTTTTAAGTTACTAAGTAGAATGTTTCTACTCTTTAAGTATTCTAACCTCAGAGGCATATCATACAAATATAGGCCATCAAAATTGACATCTAAAGAAAGTGCTTCACAAAATAAGTTACAGAAAATTAGATTAAAATTAGAAAGCAGAACATTCAGGGGGAAAATCAGTTTCAAACTAAAATATAAGGAGAGAAGTAATATTAATAATACTATATAGTATCAAGCAAACTTGTAGCATGTTTAGGTCTTAGGTTTTGATTATTTTCACAGATTGGACATTCAAAAAATAAGTAAACATATTTAAACAACATATATGTTGATAAAAAGATTCTGAGTAGATTCCCTATGGAGTCAGTATATTACTATGCTACATATGTGTTGATTAATGGAGGCACTGTATTATAGGGACCTGGACTGTTTGAGCTGAAGACAGATGCCACCACTCAGTAGTCAAAGACCCTTAGGGAAGCTATTTAACATCTAGTCCCTCCTTTTCCTCAGAGGTACAATAGAGATACATACATCCTCAACTGGTTGTTGTGAGGATCAATTGGCTAAGATAACTCAGAACAGTGCCTGGCACTGTGTAAATACACTGCATAACTTTTTGCTAAGATAAAACAGCAAAGATAAGTAAGATAAACAACTCAAGGAAAAATAATTTATTTCTGGAAACTCAAACAGATTTACCAAGGGTAGAAATAACTTAGGAGTACTCATAACACAGGCTGTCCCTTTTAATATTATAGACTATGTATTTCTGGGAGCAAGTTTTTATGAGGTATAAAAGACTGCTGAGGTTTGATATGCAAAATCTCACATACTGAAATGTGCCACTTGAAGTTAGAAACACATAATATACCCACAAAATCCTCACAAGCAAGAAAGAGAACATATCCATTACCCACAATTTTCTGTTACCATCTTATAACTCCTCCCACCTCTCCTCAAGGTAATCTCTGATCTGTCATACATTAGTCAACACATGTGTTTAATTATCAATTGATGGTTCTATCTGTTAAATATTTGACTGGTGGTAGGAAAAAAATGGTGATTTATAGTCACAGAAAAAGTAATTTTATAAACAGAGGTAGAGTATTTGTAAGAAATTAAAAATAAGTCACCAATACAAAGTATGATAAAATGTTTTTTTTTACTGAAAAATAGTTGATTTGTGACATCACCTAATAACTGGTAGTGTTATTAATATCTTCATTTGGCTTTTTGTGTATTTTTTATTTCATTCATTAGTTTACTCAGCAGGTGCTGGTTGTTTATTTGTGCCATGGACTGGCAGGGGTACACTTGTGGCAGGGAAATCACAGCGACCTGTGTTGTGCAATCACAGATACAACTTAAAATTAAATCATAAATTTAGTTCCTGAGTCATACTAGGTGCATTTTAAGTTCTTAAGAGTTCCATAGTGGCTATCACCTTGGACAGTGCAGGTACAGAAATTTCCATTATCATTGAAAATTCTATTGAATTGAGTTGATTTATAAGACTATCTATAGTGGAGATAGAGAGGATCTAAGATGAAGAAATGACAATGAAATGGAGAAGGAATCTGAGATACTTAATGCAATAGGATTAATTGAAAATGTTCTCTAGGTCCTTCTTTAGGGTCAGTGTGTAAATGGTAAGCCATTCACCAAGAAAAGTAAATACAGAAGTAGTATTTGGTAAAAGGGAATAAAATCAGATTAGTACCTAGTGAGTAAAAGACAATCCTAGAATAGGTCAGCAGTCTGAGAAGCTGCAGGATCTCTAAATGTGATCGTGGGGAATCAGGATAAAGATACAGCTCCTAGGAAGGAGCAGTAGTCACAGGTAGAGGTAGGGTCATGCACTGGGGCAAGGGCTCAGAGAAAGTAGGCTGCATGAGATGACCAGAGGCTAGCCTCAGGGTTTAGGAAGCACTGGCATTTAGGAAAAGGTTTTCAAAATATGAGTGCATCATGAATTCAACAAACAAGAGCCCCCAGCATTAAGAAAATAGTAATCATATAGTACAAAATATTAATATGCTTTGTGGATGATGAGTAAAGATCTTAAACTTCTGTTATGAATACATTTACATACATAAATGTATATTGGGTTGCAAGTAAGTCATTTTTCAGGACTGTGGTCCAATTAGTTTGACTGTCACTGGTTTATCAAGTGAACAGCACAGAGTATCAGCTACTTATGAAATACAATGATGCCCTTTCCTCATCATCCAAAATCCTGGCACTTAATAGAAACTAAATTAAGTCATACTGCATGAAAGAATACACCTGCATGAACAGGTGTATGAGGAAACCCCAGACAAACATGAGGAAATATGAGGAAACCCCAGACAAGCATGACTCAGAAGATAAAGAAAAAATCAACCCAGTGTCAGACGGCAGTGACTGGGTGATACTCAGGGCATGGATGACTTACCGTTGCAATTTCTGTTGACTGAGAGAATAGAAGTAAATGGGAGGTGAGGAAATGAAGATGAAACAAACAGTAGAAATTGAGACATCTACTTTGTACTGAAGACATAAAAATTCAATATGGACCTGGTGGAGATTATGTAGGACAGGTATGCTCTAAGACTGCGCCATCCAATAATGGAATCACTAGCCACATGTAGCTATTTAAATTGGAATAAAATTTAAAATTGCAGGGCTCAATTAGTACATGTGGCTAGTTGCTACCATTTGCAAAACTAATATAAAACTATTTTTATCATTGCAGGGCTACTGCACAGTGCTGCTTTGGAGAATTTTTAACCCATTATATCGAGGCTGACCGTAAAAAAACAAAACAGAGGACCTCCTTCCCTAACTACCGCCTATTTGAAACATTAACCACACCTAGCAGCATAACTGCTGGGTTCTGTATTACAATCCAACACAAAGGGTCATCTTCGTTATTAGTGAATGAGAGTTAACCCTGGGAGAAATGAGTGGTGATATCAAGGAGGCTACTGACAGTGTGGACATTACATGTATTCGTGTTTTCCCATCAAATGTAACAAAGAACTAGCAAAAGAGCAGCTCATGATTGCTAATGACTGAATGCACAGGAAAAATGAGCCGTGGGACAAATTACAAGGACACTAGAAGTGCTGAACAGTAAAGGTTGTGAGAATAAAATGGTAGGTATAATGGGGTCTAGTTAAAATCCGGTTTCACAAAATGAAAATGACCGGTAAAGAACATACCCATAATCTGTTTTTGATTTCTATATAGAATGGCTTATGTATTATACCTTAGTTACAAAAAAGAAAATGACAGAAGATTGAGGCACTACTATCCATCAGGTCTATCCTTTTGAGACACTGCTATTCAGGGTCCCGGTGACTCACTGGAGAAAAATCATTTTAAAAACAAAAATTCCGATGTGGTTATTCATGGGATGAGCGAGTGAAGGGAGGGAACCTAAAAGGAAGGAAAATTCGGACCACTTGCTTTCTCTTCCTAAGGGCAAACCTTGTGCTGGCTCTTTGAACCTCAGAACTCAAGGCAAAAATAAAATTTCCTGATGCCTTTCCCTCTGGCCTCGCCTGGAGACGCCTATTAGAAAGGTCACTCTGGCATGGCCTTTTCACCGACACACAAGGGCATGTAACAAATGCTCCCATTTGGGGTCTTTTGGACATCGAATCTCTAATAAATGCTCATCAGGCAATCGGCCACCCCACAGTAATGGCGTTCCGCGCCGGAGGCCCTTTCCCCAATGAGCCCGTGAAGGTATAGCCACCCATGTAGAAGCCGTTACTTGAGGGCATCGCTGAAGTCACCAGAAGGAAGGCCGCTCACGACTGGAAAAAGACCTTAGAACTCAGGGACTCAGGGCGCTACTCCCCGCCTCTGGCGGGGCCACTACTGCCAACGGTTACCCCAGGTGCACTTCCGGCGCCGCTCCTGGGCTCGCCGGATATGCTGTCAGCTCCCAGAGCCGCGGAGCCGTAAGGCAAGATGGCAACCTTATGTCGGAGGAATTTACCATTCTTCGCTCTACTTTAGCACTTCATTACTTATGAGAGAGCCTCTGTTTTCATTGAATCACCTAGAGTTATCATCAAAGCATGATCTGTTCCGTTTATATTCAGTTATCGGTGGACGATGGGGGCAGATACGACCGAAAGGGGAGCTAGAGCCGTGTAGGGCACCATTTTGTACGGAAAATAAGGGCCGGACGGGGTGACTCCTGGGAAACGGAACAGGCCGTCGCCTAGAGAGAACGCAGGAGGGCGGAGCTTCCAGATGATGTGTTTCCGCTTCCTTTCGGCCTCGCTGTATTTGGTTGGACCGGCTTGTTGGGGGGAGGAGGGGAAGGTTGTTTGCAGTCGGGAAGACTGCTCACGAAAGGTAGACTGAGGTAAGGCAGTGGAAGGGGCTTTAGCGCCTGGGTGTATATTATCTCTCGGGGCAGAATCCTTCAGGGTGAAGAAGAATGTGAAGCCAGAGATGGCGGGCTTCGCTTGCACTCGTAGTGGGAGAGAAGGGGAGGTGGGAAGGGGCCGGGGCTTACAAGGTGAATTGCAAAGCGAGTGGGGGTGGAACGGGGTGGTGGGAAGGGAGGGTGGGCAGAAATGGAGCAGAGGGTGATGGCGCTTAATGTGGAAGTTCTTGGTAAGGGTGGGACTGGGGCGAGGGGCACTAGGACACGTGAAGAGTAGGACCTCAAGTCCTTGAGGGTTGAGGGAAGTTGGGGTGAGAATATGGGTATGTGGGGAGAAGAGTTGTAGTCTTTGGGAAACTGAAAGAACAGAAGGCTTTGGTGACCGACGTTCTGATGCTGACCGAATACTTAGCCGTTGTTTTCTCTGCAGTTCCCCAGAGACTGTCATCCAGCGGCCTCCGGTTGGGCCCAGCTTCTCTCCAGCTGCCGCCACAGCCTGGAGGCGCCTGCCTCCACCTTCCCGAATGGTGCTCCTCCTCGCAGACTTCGGCCCAGGATCCAGGCCCCCCTTCCCCTCCTACATCGAAGCTGCATATCCGGGTCTGTCCCGGTGGACTCCCTGTGAAAGGGAGGGAAGAACTTTTGTACAGACAAGGCTATAGTTCTAGGAACCCCACTGAAGCTTCGAATCTTAGCCTCTAGCAGAGTGTGAGGTCTGCCTGTGCCCGTTTGTCCCACCCTTTAAGAGAAACTCTTCTTGTCATCCAGAGCGTGGGAAACCCCAGGCTGGGGCCCTGGTCCCAGCATGTCAGCCCTCTCTTGTGCATAGGGCTGTCCCCTCTCTCTATCAACATGGCTGAGCTCAGACAGGTTCCAGGGGGGCGGGAGACCCCACAGGGAGAAATCCGGCCAGAAGTTGTTGAGGATGAAGTCCCTCAGAGTCCAGTTGCAGAGGAGCCCAGAGGAGGTGGAAACAACAGCAGTGAGGCTAAATTGTCTCCAAGAGAGGAGGAAGAACTGGATCCTAGAATACAGGTGAGATAATGGAGTATGAAGAGCATGAAGCCCAGGTCCAGCTTCCTGAAGAACTATCAGATGAATGATGAGTTAGATTTATTTCTTCCCAGTGAACTGTGACAGGAAAAGAAAATGAATTGTTACTGAATTATTGCAATGTAGTGTGACAGGTGCTAAAAGAGTAATGTGTTAGGAACACAGAGGAGGCCTGGCCTGAATGCCTGGGGTGTGTTGCTAAAGGCTTCCTGAAGAAAAGTGGTAAATTGGCAGCAGATACAGGCGCACACTTATAAGTCAGAGAGAGTAGAGCTTCTCTCCTTTGCAGATAAGCAAAGAGGCTGTTGCCTCAGATGTGGCATGAAAGATGTGAGAAGAAGTCCCACTGAAATTGGGCAGCAGCTCTGAGTCTTTTCCTCTCGTACTCTCATCAGTGCCTGCCAGGTATGTTTATATCTGTAAAGGGTGAAGACTTTCATGTCTTATAAAGGTGACGTCAGGTTTAGTCCTATAAGGAAATTCCAGTGTGTTCAGGGAATTGCGTCTGTTGTGGTCAGAACTGAGGATGATGGGCCCATTGAATGAATAGAAGAGCTGATTTATCGCCTTGGAGCAAGTACAGGCTAGTTAGTAGGACAGGCAGATCTTTATAAAGGAGATGGTATCGTAATGGGGGAGGACAGCACCATTTGGAGATGAGGTTAGGTTGTGGTGTTTTTGGGCAGTTGTTGGGAAGGGCTCACAGGGTAGGCTACTTGTGCTCCTGTGTGTTTGGTATCTGAGTCTGTCATTTGGTGTGGCATCCCCCAAATTCTGATGTGATGGTGACTCACACCACTGTAGGTGAGCAAGAGCTTCCTAGGACTCACATTCCTAAGTTTCTCTGTCAACAAGCCTCTATGAGGTTTCTTCATTGAGTAAGGGGAATAAAAAGTCAGAGCTGATCCTCACATCCTTCCTGCCTTCTTGTGGTGTGCCTCCCCTGGAAGGAGTAGGGGGTAGGGGACGGCAATTGTGTCCTGCTTACAGTGGAACAGTGGCAAATCATTACTTCACTGGTGTGAATCAGTGTCTCCTGGGCATCACATTGAAACCAGTTGTTATTTCTACAAACTTGTTCTTGGAGGAAACAGGCTGTAATGTAAAAAGACTTGCACAAAAAAAGTGATCTGATTTTCAGGCAAGTCACATAAACCTTTCTGAGTCTTGAGTTTCTTCATCTGTAAAGTAAGGGGTTGTTCTCACTGACTTGTATAACTCCTTGCCTGCTCTAACACAATCCTGAGATTGTGTGCTTTCTCAAAGACTTTTGCTTGTCTCTTGGTGAAAGTTTGTAGTTAGCTCTTTGGGAATGAGACCCTTCTCTCCCTCTGGGGGGAGGCCATTTGATGCACTTAAACCCCTTTCTGCAACTTGTTCCAGAGGGAATTCACTTGGGTTTCTTTTTTCAGTTGCTCTAATCCCCGGTATTTCGCCAGTGGCCATACAAGCGAAGGCAGTAGTATGACGAGTAACTCGTATACTGTGACTCATAGCCAGAAGCCATTTACTACTAGTTAAAATCACAATATTAAAAAGATGCAGTTCTTCAAGTGCTGTTGGCAATGCAGAAGTAGAATTTTCTGTCATCACACAGTACTATTAGATGAGCTCTGTGAGAGTAGAAGAGTACTGAGCAGGTACGAGATTCAACTTGTCTGTTAGAGTAAGCTTCCAAATCTTACTGAAGAGAGAGGGACAGGCAAATCCCAGTCTCTTAGTAAATTGAGAGGCATACTGAAGAACATTGTGAGTTGTGTAGGGAAGGAAGAAATAATGCACTTGAGGCTGTATTCCTGCTTTGTGAAGGATTCAGTTTTTTCTTCAGGAGAGCCAGCTTTTATGGAGGGGGCTTGTGGCGTTCAGCCCTTCTAAGTTGGGACTCTTCTGGATAAGACGGACTGCCTTGTGTGGTCGCTTTTAGTGTTGACAGTATATAAGACCATGTATCTTGATAATACATTTCAGAGCTTTAAAGGGATGATGATATTCTGGATTTTCATTGCTTTCCTTGGGTTTTCATCCATGGATCCATCAGAACTCACCAGGGAATTTTGAAAATACTGTTGCTTAAGCCATGTCCCAGCATGTGGATTCTTTTCATTGAGACATGGGGGGACAAAAAAAAAAATGACATACATCTTGGGTAACTATACCAGGCCAAGGATATCCCAAAGGCAGAAACTCTGGAACTCTTAGAAATGTTTGCATAAGGACTTGTGTCCCCTTTTTCTGGAGGGATGCTCTAGGTCTAGCTGGAGTATACTGTCCCAGAAAAAGCCTCTAAACTGTCTCCATGTCTTGATCACAACATAGTCCTCTGAGGATTCCAGGCTGCTGCTTGGCTTTCAGAGAGAGAGAGTCCCATTCCTAGTGGAAGAAGGAGGGTGGCACTAAGCTGCACCTGGCTTTACACCCTGTGTCTTTTTGACCCTCTTTGTAAGAGTGCGTTCTCTCAGATGTCTTGTCTTGTACACCACCTCAGACTTCCCTGGATGATCATAATTTCTGTGTTCTCATTAGGATGTGTTGTTTTATTTTCCCTTGAGCAGTCATATTTCCTCTTATTTCTGAGTCTTTGGGCCAAGCATTACCCTGTCTTTGCCAACTAACCATAGACTTGAGTATTTAAATGGCCTGTATGAGATACTTTCTGAGGGATGGGGGTGTTTGTAGCTTGCGTGTCTATGCCTGTGGCTCAGTGACCTGGTATCTAGGGAATGTGCCTGGCATGCTCTGGGAAGGTCATCTTCCCTGATCGCTGCCTGCTCATTGACAGATGATACGTAATGACTCAGAATCTATTCTTCTTGAATTCTATTTCAAGCAGGTGCCAGGAGTCCCTGGTAGAGCAGGCCAAATGGAATTGTTGCCAACTGCTTCTTGCTTATCCTTCCCTGGGTATGCCCTGGCCTGGCTGTTCTTCCTTGCCTATCCTGCCCTTTGTTCTACCCTGCTTCCCAGTCTCCTTGTCCTGTTAGAAAGAGCTTTGTGACCTTTGAAAGCAGACCTCATCAACGGAAGACTTTTAATTGCTGGAGGTGGTATGAGCTCACATACAGAAGGACATGCCGGCTCCTGCCTTTGGTCAATAGCCAGAGCTATTGACCTTTTTTTTCAGTGGGTATGGCTTATGTAGAACCATTCACTCTGATAATCTTGTCAGGGCCTGGAAGCCCTTTGGGAAGTGGGATCCAGTCTTGTGTCTTGATTCCTCTTGGGATATTATAGTGACTTTACCTGCCTCTTCTCCCCCTAAGTCAATGTTTATTGCATCTCTGAGGCCTTTCCTTGACCCTTTCATAGATGATGGTACTTCACTTTTCTCTGAGGTGTCTGTCCAGGGATGTCTGTAGTATTAGCCAGATCCTTAAGGTTTAGTCCTAAATATGTCCCAGTTCTGCATGTGCCAATGGTTGAGATGTGCCCCAGGTGTCAGATGCACAGGCATTTCAAGGACGCAGTTAAAAAGAAAAAGTGTTGTTGATAATATTGTTGAAGTTAAAATATTTTATGTATGTTGGGTTAAATGAAATGCATTGTTATAAATTTTCACCTGTTTTTGCTTTTATTTAAATGTGACTGCTGGAAAGCCAAAAATTCCATCTGAAGCTCCCACTAGTTTTTTTCTATTGGACTTCTGTTCTTGAAAGTTAGGAACTAAATCTGTGGCCTTCTCTGATATTGTCATATCCTTGTTTTTGATGCTGTTAGATATTTGTATTCTTTTTACTGTGACTAGGACATGTTCTTTGGTTTTCTACATTCTAACTTGCTCATTCAAATTTTACAGGGCTTGGGGAGGCATATAGACATAAATGAAATAAAAGGCATGAAACATTGGGTTGTTGGAAGGACCAAATTAGCAACAGGCAGATGTCAGGCTGTGTCCTGTAGGCCTGGCTAAAGGCATATACCAGGCATCTCCTTGGATATTGCTCCTCTTAGAGAGTATTGTTTGGGTCCTGGAATCTGAGCAAAGAAGGGCAGGGGACGGTACTCGAGACCACCACCCCTTCCCATGCTCTGCCTTGTCACTGAAAAGCCCAGCTGGAAGGTCTCAGTAGTTTTTTTAAAGATTTATTTGTACATACAGAACTGGGGTTCAGGCCAGAGGCGGCGAAAGTCTTCACTAGAGACAGAGTGGGGAGCAGAACAGGCAGATTGACGAAGTACACTGCTGAGGGGAGCAGCGGGCGGATCAGGAGAGGTCTGCCTCGCCATGTGGTCACTTCCGGGGCAGGCGGGAATCGAACTCATGCTGAAGTGGCTTTAGCTTCTCAGTGCAGTGCTTTAACCCGCTGCGCCACCAGGGAGGGCCAGTTTGTTTTTTTTAACTACACCTTTGGTCCTTCAGCCAGTGACGTGCTCAAACCAGTGTGTCTAGTAACTTTTCCCCAAGGAGGACCTTCCCAGAGGACCTGGGATATTGTCACCCTACTGGCCAAGTAGGCCTAGAAGTATTATACCCCAGAACCTTGTGATTCTCTATTTTACATTTCCTTGGGATCTATCTATCTTTTCCACTCTCACCTTGAATACTTGAAGGGCAGACCTAATCAACACCTTGAATATTGCATCCTGCACTGTTGTTTCTTAGGCCCCTCCAAATTTCTCCCCACATTGCTCAGGTCTCCCTTTCTAAATCAGACCAAGTGGTGCCAGACTCCTAGGAAATCCTCTGGCCATTGAGAAGTCCTGGTATCCCCTCCCCAAGCCCAGCCTTACTGACTTCTCATCTGACAACTGTTGGCCACAATATTAGCCCATTTGATTCCGTGGCCTGAGCACAAGTGCTCTGGTATCTTGCCCTGACCTTCTGCCACCCAAGTAGATAATCTTACTACCAACATGGTCACTCCTTACTGACTCCTTAGTCCAGTGAGGGGCTGTTGCTCAGTTGGCCATTAGCTGCTACTTTGTGTTCTGAATTCCATGGTTTGGTGGTGCTGAGTTGTGCTAAGTGTGCTCAGTGAGTGGCTGAGGGGGTTGTCCTTTCTCTGGAACAGAGATTCCTGACTGGTGAGCAGTGAAGGGGTAGAATGGTTTGATGGAGATGTGTGCATATGAGAATTCCTTTCTCTGAACCTTGATTTCCTCACTTACAAAATGGGATTTTATTATTTGATACAGAGGTGGACCTGTAGAAGATAGTAGGAAACTGCATATTAAGTCTCTATCAAGGGGGGTTTCCACAGTGCCATCCTCCAGTAGTTCCAGGTAGGCTTTCGCTCTGAGCACAGTGCTTCCACCACAGCCATGTAACTGAGGCTGCTTTCTGAGACTGCTCTAACGCTCTGTCTCTCTCTGTGCAGGAGGAACTGGAGCATCTCAACCAAGCCAGTGAAGAGATCAACCAGGTGGAGTTGCAGCTGGATGTGAGTTTCTACTTTGCTTCATACCCTTGGGCCGGTGTCTCTGTTTCCCTCTACACTGGCAAGGGAAGGGTTGTATATGAGAAACATACTTGCCTTTCCTTTGCCTGTATCTTTATTCTTTGTTAGGAGGCCAGAACCACTTATCGGAGGATCCTGCAGGAGTCGGCAAGGAAGCTTAACGCACAGGGCTCCCAACTGGGGAGCTGCATTGAGAAGGCCCGGCCCTACTATGAGGCTCGACGATTGGCTAAGGAGGTATGGCCAGCTGACCCTTTGTCCCGGGAAGGCTGCATACAGAGCCTGGCCCTGGACTCTTCTGTATATGTGGAATGTCAGACAGAATGCCTTTTCTCATTTTATCTTTCTTCCCTTTGGTTCTTACGCTGTTTTTTCTGTTTATCCCTCCTCCCTTTTCACTTTTACACAAATAATGTGAATTCATTATTGAAAGACTGTAACTGAAAAACCAGATTAAAAGAAGAAAGCCAAGATCTCTCCAAACTACCATATGCCTGTTTCCTGGTTTCTGTACCTAGGATTTGTAGTCAGGTATGGTAAAATGACAATGCAGAGGCTATGGCCTTGAGATTGTACTGTATTGTACTGTATTATGTACAGTTCCCAAGAGGAGGGGGCAGGTCACTCGTGGGAAGCACCTGGGTTGGTTAGAAATTAGAAGGCAAGAAGGAAAAGCTTGCTCATAGCCTTCGTTGTGGTTTTCATGGGAAGTGATGGGTCAGGCAGGGTAGGCTTAGGGTTGAGCAAGTTTAAGGTTGGTTAGTTTGAATAACTGGTGAGCAGTCTTTAATTTTCTGGTACCTGCCCTATGATTTAGGGCAAGGGAAGTAATTGACTTGATGCATGAGAGTTAAGGAGGTTTTGGACTGGCTGGTTTGCAAATGAAAGGTGCGCTCATTTTACTGTCTATTGGAATTAATACCTTGGGAGGTGCAGCAAGGCCTCCAAGATGTCAAAGTATGAAAGATCACAGAGTATGTAAAAGATATAATTAGTGCAACGTTGATAACTCCTGAATGTTTTAGGAGATATATTTCCTAATAAGATGAAATTATACAGTATGTGTTATTTTGTTTTACTTTGTATTATGATAGCGTTCCAGTTTTAAGGATTGCTTAATGTTTCCTCATATTAGATAACTATTACTCATTTAACCAGTTACTTATAACTAAAACTCAGTTTTGTTTGATAATCATGACTGTGATCAGTATGTTTGAACTCTTCTCTGGTTATTACTACCTTCAGCCTTCCTCTACTTGGAGGTGCTAGTCCCAAGATTATACTTTCTGTCCATGTCAGTAATCATTTTGCAGCTAAAATGCTGTGGATTTGTTTGTTCTCCCTAGTGAGAGTGCTCACTAGGAATTTCATATGCTCTCCACTGAAAGTATTCTTTTCAGTTTATCCCTGTATTTATTTCTTCTCTTAGTCCATGTCCTTACAAACTGTTCTTTGTAGAATGTTGCTTCCTTAACATTTTTGTTTGGTCTGAGTTGGCAGAGAAAGCCAACTTTGCATTAAGTATCCCTCCTTCTCTTGTCCTTGCCCAGGAGAAGGGCCTCTGATTAGTGCCTCTGACCTAATGGCCTTCCTCCTCCAGGCCCAGCAGGAGACTCAGAAGGCAGCATTGCGGTATGAGCGGGCTGTGAGCATGCACAATGCTGCCCGGGAGATGGTGTTTGTGGCTGAGCAGGGCGTTATGGCAGACAAGAACCGGCTGGACCCCACTTGGCAGGAGATGCTCAACCATGCCACCTGCAAGGTGAGCCAGGCAGTGCCAGCGGGTTCCTTCTGCTGGTGTTGACACATCCTCTGCTATCTCTTCATCCTCCTGTGTGACCTTCAGTGTTTTCTGCATATATTTCCTTTTGACCTAAAATGACTTTTCTAGTCTCTTGAACCTTTGCCTCCAGGTGTGTGACTAATCCCTGTATGGATTCCTACTTAGGTGCTCTGGATTCAACTCCCACATTTTACTGTGTTTATCTGTGACCCCTTACTTCGGTTTTCAGAGTATACTTCTTCTCTTGCTCTTGAGGTCTTCTAGGATTTTTGAAGAATAATCTATGTGCTGTTTGTAAGTTACTCAAAAGGAACTAGAAGCAGGAGAATCCTTGGCATCAGTTCCAGTCTGCCATTTTTTCCTTATAAAAGGCACTGTCTTGGCATTTGGGCTGCTATAAATATATAACACATATCAGGATTTAGATAGCAAATGTTTATTTTTTGTAGTTCTAAAGGTAGGAAGACAAGCATTACAGTGTAGGCACATTTGACATCTGGTGAGGGCCTACTTCCTTCTGTCTTCTCACTGTGTTCTCAGATTACAGAGGACTCAAGGGGTTTTCCTAGACTGCTTTTATACAGGTACGGATCCTATTCATGAAATTCCCCCCAATTCCCAATCACCTCCCCAGGCTTCACCTCCCGTACCTTTACCTGAAGGGTTAGGATTTCAACCTCAAGAGTTCTATGGCAATATAGATATTCAGTCTGTAGCTGCAGGTGCCAGCTCCTAGGGGCTGGTCATGTCTGGAGGTTCTCTTGGTGCTCATTCATCCAGGCCCACAGTCTCACACAGCAGTAGCTCCATTTCTGTGGCAGAGGTCACATAAACGAGTGGTTGTTGAGCTGTGTGTGGCTGACTGTGACAGGGCTCTCATCTGTGCCTGCCCAGGGTATGGAGAGCTCAACCACCTGATCACGTTGTACAAACCCTTGCCTGCTCCCTGCTCAGGCACAGCTGCCTATAGAGCTCAGTGCAGAACTATGACTGCCCACACTGGGGCTCCTCCCATCTCTCAGTCCCAGCCCCTGGCTCTGAGGGTCCTGAGAAGGATGGCTGTGGCAGGTGTGCTCAGGGCAGGAGCCATGGGTCCCAGCTCAGTGATATGTGTCCATGTCTCTACTTGGGCCAGGTGAATGAAGCGGAGGAGGAGCGTCTTCGTGGTGAGCGGGAGCACCAGCGGGTGACACGGCTGTGCCAACAGGCTGAAGCTCGAGTCCAAGCCCTGCAGAAGACCCTTCGGAGGGCCATTGGCAAAAGCCGGCCCTACTTTGAGCTCAAGGCTCAATTCAGCCAAATCCTCGAGGTAGCTAACTGGAAGAGGGGGAGGTCAGTTCTGGTGGGTGGTTGGGAAGCACCAGGTGTAGAAAATGAATCCTGCAGCTCGAGGGGGCTCTACTGCCTCTTGGGCTGTCTTCCCGATCACTGGGGCAGGTAGTACACATGTGCTCACAATGTCCTGCCGCAGTGGGAGGTGGAGCTGGCGCTGGGTCCTTGGCAGAGAATGGAACTAGGAGGAGGTAAATCAGAGAAAGAGGAAGCCAGGAACATCAGGAAGAGGAATCTCCTAGATGGGAACAATGGGGAGAGGTGAAGTGAATGGAAATGAAGGTCTGGGAGGGAGGTGGGGCTCAAGTCAGGAGTTGAGTGAAGCTTCCAGGGGAGGAGCAGCAATAGCAGCAACTGGGAGCGTTAGAGTTGGTGGAGCTCTGCAGGCTTGTGGGTGATGAACAGGGCTCAGGCATGGGGGAGGAGTTCTCAGCAGAGTGTGCTGAGTGGGTCTGACCAGCCTCTTCAACTCCAGGGGCTATGGTGAGTTGCCCCATGGTTTACTATAACCCTCCCTCTGCAGGAGCACAAGGCCAAGGTGACAGAGTTGGAGCAGCAAGTGGCCCAGGCCAAGACTCGCTATTCCGTCGCGCTTCGCAACCTGGAACAGATCAGCGAACAGATTCATGCCCGTCGTAGGGGACTTCCCTCACACCCTCTGGGCCAGCGGCGCTCTTCCCCAGTAGGGGCTGAGGCTGGGCCTGATGGAGGCGAGGATGGGGATAGTGGCATCATTGAGGGAGCTGAGGGCGGGGTGCTGGAGGAAGGGAGCAGTCTGGGCCCGGGTCGAGCCCCCGACACGGACACACTGAGCCTGCTGAGCCTACGCACTGTGGCCTCGGACTTGCAGAAGTGCGATTCAGTGGAGCATCTGCGGGGCCTCTCTGATCACGCCAGTCTGGATGGCCAGGAGCTTGGTTCCCGGATCGGGGGCCGCCAGGGTAGTGACAGTGGGAGCCGTGGGGGCCGCCACCAGCGCAGTGTTAGCCTGTAGCCCTGTGCTTTGGGTGCTGGTTTGTCTTAACTCCACTGACTTATACAGGGCAGTGCAGACACTAGGCTACCACTCCTCAGGTCTTTGTTTCTCTCAGAGAGGTCACGTGGAGCCCTTTCAGAGGTCTTCTCTCTGACTCACATCTCTGCTCCCCCTGCTGGCTCTGCAGGCTGTCCCCCTTTGTCCTTTCTCTGGTTTTTAATCTTTCATCTATCTGACTTTTCCCCTCAGGGAACTTGATTCAGAAGCCACAGAGAGATGTTTGGAGAAGGGGTTGCCCAGCCTGAGTGCAGGGCATCTCAGCCTCATCCTGAGCATCTGTCCTGAGTCCCTTTCTATCTCACCTCTTGGTTCCTGAGGGGCCTCTCTGGATGCTGCTAAGCCCTCCTGGCACCTTGTTCCCCTGTCTGGTGTCCCAGCTAGCCTGTGTAACCTGTGAGACTTGGGGTTGGGTACCTCTGGAAGACACCACCCCACCTGTACCCTTCAGTGCTTACCCCTTGTGACTTAAGCCACTCTGCTGGGTCCCAGAGCAGGACTTGAGGGGTGCTGGGGTCAGGGTAGTTGAAACCCAACCCTAGCGTCAACATAGGGGGAGGCTACTGCTCCAAGCAGGCTCCCATGTGAGTGGTATTTCCCTGGGCGTATAACATTGCCAAGGTGCTAGTGGGTTTCTGACAGGATTCATGTTGGGTGGAAATGTAGTGAGTCCTCCTGGTTCAAGTCCCCTCTCTTCCTGTATGGAGTTAGGTTTACTTTTTTTCTGGGTAGAGGATGCTGAGTTGAATGTCAGCTCCTTCTCTTAGCGTGGAATTAGGGGATTTGGTGCTCAACTGCTCTCCCTCACTCTACCCCAAACCAAACAATACCTACTCCAGGATCCCTTGGGACATGCTCAGCTTTGGTGGCTGAGCCTCCCCTGATGCAGAGAAGAATTGGTTAGGCTGAAGGGAATTGCCCTCCACAGAGAACTGCTCCACGTGTCTGGTAGTGCGGCCCCCCAGATAAGTCACAGTGGACCTGGGTGCCTCTGGAGGGTCTATCCTTGTGTTCCACACCAGTCAGGATGAGAGCCAGACTCTGGCAGAAAAGCTCCTGCCTAGCCCGAGTGTTAACTGCCACCTGAGTAGGAGCGGTGTGGGCCTTCTCATAAAGGTGTTTCCCTGCCCTGGGGTGTGGGCAGGGTGATGGTCACAATGAGAACCGCTGGGTTTGAGGTGGCCAGAGGTAGAGGGAAGAAAGTGTGCATGCATCTGCCAGTGTGTGTGTGTGGGAAAAGGTCTGCCTCTGATTTTATTTAAAATAAAGTAGTTTATGTAACAGAAAAGTTTACTGTCCCTGTCAGGGGAGGGAGGAGAAGAAGGGGATGAGGATGGGCTGGGGGGAAGGGCATGTGGAAGCCTCTCTTGGTGAGGTGGTCAGGGATAGCCTTTGGAGGTGAGCCTAGGCTGGGTGAGAAAGGAGTTAAGCATGCTTTTGCAGGTGGTTCCTGGCTGAGGGGCTGGAAGTACTGCCCTGCTGTGCTGTGTGAGTGAGGTGGTGATGAGTGTGTATGGGATTGGTGGTCTGGCTCTGGAGGGGTCCTCAGGGTGGAGAGGAGTTTATCACTGACATTGTGGTTTAGATAAGAGATGAGGATGCTGGAAGAGTAGGATCTGGACAGGTCAACATGAGTGTGAAAAGGGAGAAGGAAATAAGTAGGATTATGGGATTTAGCAACTGGTGGGGTATTTGCTGTTGAAATTCAGATAGATGAGTAGTTTTTGCCTTCTACATTATTTAGGATATTCTTGACTAAGTTACTCCTTGTGTGTCTGAACTTGAAACTTAACATTGATATATGATGACTCCTGGGTCAGGGCTTGACTGATGTAGACAGGAGAGTTTGAGAATTTGAACTCAGCTGTGAAGTAGTTGGTGGGATTTTCAGGGGAGTGTTGAGAACTTAAGGAGTCGTGGAAGTGGAGAGCTAGAGAGTGAAGATTTTGGATTGAGCCATATCTGGTATGTATTGGAGCTTGGTGTGAGAGGACCAGCCAAGGGATGGAGTAGGTGCTTCCTGGAAGTGGGGAAACCTTATAAGAAGAGCATTCTGAAGGCCAGGAGGACAGGTTGGTAGAGCAGTGAAGTTGGGAAGACCGATGCCAGAGGATCCACCTTGAGCCACTGCATCCTAAACACCTGGATTGCCTTTCTGAAACTGGCTTCTAGACTTAACTAGAAGATAAGTGTGATAAAGCATATGAGTGCCAAAATGGTTCCTGTATCGCTGAAAAAGCTTGACCTAGGTCTTAAGGTGAGTGGGTTTCTGAGTTGACACTGAGGGGGGTATGGGTTGTCATACTTCCCACCCTAGAAATTTATGACCCGTAGGACTGGGGTGTAGGAACCCCCCAAAAAAGGGACTGGTTGTACTTACTCTGTTTCTCTTTGCAAAACAACCTACCAGGTAAGTGTCACCTGGAGGGTTAGGATGCATGACTTCTGTGTGGGAAAAAATATTCAAAGCAAGTGTGACTCCTCCCTGAGCTCCCCTCCCCTCTTAACCCAGTGTGCTTATCACAGGCATGAGCACTTACTATTTTTATCCCCACAACACCATTGCCTTCCTGTGTTGCCTTCCTGCATGTGGGAATGCAGGTATAGTGGGTTTGCCCATTCTGCTCTTCTGTTTTTACCATCTGAATCCAGAGGTCAGACTTAAGCCCTTAAGTGAAGTAAACAAATCAGGGCAGTAAAATCTGACTAAAGAGGGTTTCAGTCAAGGTCATCTCTGGGAGGGTAAGAAAGAATAGGGAGCTGTGATTTCACAAGAATTAAGAATTGAGAAAGTCTGAAGAGAATGGGTGTAATCACCTCTTAAGTTTTACTGGAAAGGAACTGAGGTACTAAGAGGATTAAAGGATTTTGTTATAAAGTGAGTATGACATGGTCAGGTTTTGGGGTACATGCAACTTTCATCTCCTATTCCTGTACCGTGGAATTCTGAACTATGTGCCCAAATGAACAACTGGCCACAGGTGCCTAATGGACTCGCAGTAAATACCTTTGCATCTCCATTATACCAGGTACTTAGTATGATAACTTAGGATGTCATGTCTTATATCTACAGTTCTAATATATTTTCATACAAGTGGGAGTTCTTGAATTTTCCTGTCACAATCTTATAAAATGAGCAAGTCTTGGTGTGCCTAGCATTGTACAAGGTCAATGTTAGCAGTTCTCTGCAGCATCCAGATGCAGTGACTATCTATAGAGGTCGCCTTCAGTGCTAGATGAGAATGATCTTTATAGAAGACCTTTTAGAGTATTGGGTTTCTTGCTCTGATTTTTGACAGGCCTAAGGTTATTCTTCATCTGCTTTCTATACGTGCCCTTCCCTGAGGAGCCCACTTTCCTGGCTGGCCTGGGTCTGCCTCACCAGTTGGCTAAAGAGCTTATTCTGCAAAATCTGACTGGGAAACAGATTATGTGGGGCATAAAGTGGAGTGTTTACACCATGGTTGAACCCCATCTCCCCTGTGGCTTGTTCTTGGAATCACACCCTGCTATGCAGACTGGGTATGTGGGCAATGCCTGTCAGTGGAGATGAATGAATATTGATCTCCACAAGCAATGTTCACTGCTTGTGTCTGTTCTCAGAATTCACCTGGTTGAAGCTATCTCCCCTCTGTAATATCCTCTACCGCCTCCTCCTTAGCACCTTTGCATATTTCTTTTGGGAAATTCCTTTGGCTTCCCTCTATCACCATTACTGGACCCCACTCTGCTTTCCCTGAGCCTAGGGAGCCATTAAATGGATGTGTATAGTTTACTAAATAGGCACCAGGGTCCTTTAGAGTACAAACACTGGCATAACTTGTTAGGAACACCAGAAAGTATATACCAGGTAAAAATGGTATATACAGGAGCAGGTAATTCAGGGCAGTAAAAAGAAAAGATGATCAAAGGTGGCTGTAGTCCAGGAAGTTTCTGGGAGCTTAGAAAAGGAGGCTTTGAGCAGGGGACCACTCTCAGAGGCTCTGAAATAGGATTCCCTTCCCTGGCCACAGGATGGAAGCCCCTTTATCATTCTTGGTTCCCCATGCGCCACTTTCTAAAGTCTGAGCTCCTTTAGGGCCTATGTCTCATCTTGGTGTACTCAGGGCCTGGTGTAAAGCATTCTCCAGAAACAGCTACACAGTGACTTATTTGTGCCATTCATGACATAGATTTCACTTTTTATCAACCCACCAGTCTTCTGCCTGCCTCTTGCGGACTTTCTGATCTGATACATTTAATTTTCTCAGCTTTTCATGCAGGCCTGAGTGCCTCCACTCAGGTTTCTCAAGTCTCGTACTGTTGGACTAGACCAGTGTCATCCCTGTTATTAGCACTTACTCTGTCTCTCACTCAACTTTTAACATGGTACAGTAGCATTATATATAGAATTGTTACAGGCCTTCAACCCCAAAGAATGGGTCCTTTGTCCACTAGGGAAAGAATTCACCAGAGTGTTCATTGTAGTTGAACCAGGCAACACATTCTTAGACTCATGCATGAGCAGCTAACTTGGGAAAGGAGAATAAAACCTGGCTTTTCATGAGTTAGGAAATATTTAAAGAGGTGAGTAGAAGGGCAATGTCATGGCTTGTGCTGGGGTGGGGCTACCCAGGCATCCATAGATTGGTTACATTCCAACTTCCCATGTGACCTCTCGGCCTTCTACCTCCAGGAAATTGCTAATCACTGTTGGTCAGAATCTAGTATTTCCTCTATTGTGGCCCCAGTGGTCAATGGGGTGGGCCAAGTTGAACAGCATTAGCCCCTCCCAAGTTTTAATCCACCACCTACCTCAAAACAGGTCTTGGGGCAACTCAATGTACTGGCTCAAAGTTTCTTTTACCTTGGCTGTCTCAGAATTGTCATGTCATATATGGTCTATTCTGGGTCACTTGAGCACAAATGGGACAAGAGAGCTGTCCTTGACCAGCCTGTGGCACAGGGGTTGTGCCCATGGCATGTCACTCAGCTCTTCTATACCTGATCTTTCAGCCTTTAAGAATGGGGTCTGGTCGAGGTAGATAAACTCTCAGTGGTATCGTAAGTTTCTAGTTATCTAAAGCACTAAAGTGATTTCAGTGGAGAAGGTTGGGGTCTGTGAGAGGTGCTTTGCTGGATAATGTGAGGTGGTGGGTATATTTGCAGGTAGTGTCTGGGGTGAGAGCCTGAGAAATCCACTCCAGAATTGGTAAGGCCCAGACCAGAAGCAGTGGAGTATTGCTTGCATGTGAAGTGCTGAACAGTATGGTCAAGGAAATTGGGGGTATTCTGCACCATGGCAGCCAGGTGACATTTGCCACAAATGAGGATAAAACAGCTGACTCATTGGATGAAGGAGGGAGGGTGTGAATATTTGCTTTTTCACGATTTAGGATAGTGAAACATTTTGATTTAGAATGGTGACCAAAGTCATGGGATTTAGCAGAAGACAAACTCCTTCAGCTGCCCTTTCATCTCACATGCCCTTCAAGGTCAGTCTGTTCCCTTTCCTCCCTCCTTAAGACTTCTGTGGCTAAACACCAAAATGGAGGGTACTTTTCACAGCACACAATGTTCTATGTCTGCCCTTCAGAGGCAAGGCAGGAATTCTTAACAGAGGTTGGGGACAGAGAGGATGGAAAGAATTGTGAGAGGTGCTGGCATGGAGGACTGACTTGTGGGATGTTCTTAGAGCTGTGCTGACTCAGGTTGCTGCTATTTAGGGGAGAATGAAGCCCTCACTTAACATAACTTTTTTCTAATCTGTGTGGCTACTGCAATAACATCTTGCAAAGGAGACTGTATCTCCATCTCTCTTCCTCTTCAGCTCCACTCCTTTGCACCCCAGGGAGGTGTGTGCAGTCCCTGCTTCCTTCCTTTTGGCCTTCCTCCAGCTATTTTTTCCTCACACACACCCCCTGTCTTACTCCCTTACACTTTGGGGTAGATTTCCAAGAACCCTGATAACACACCCCTTTTCTCTCTTAAATAGTTGCATTAAGCAGAAAGGACTGCAACTGCTTAGTTGGAAGAGACCTGTCCATCAGTCATGAAAGGAAGGAGTCTTCAGATGAATTTCCTTGAGAAAGGGAGTACATATCTGTAGTGCCAAGGTGGTGCACTATGATTTAAAAAACAACTAGCTATTAGTTTGCTACTTATTTGGATTTACTAGTTTTCTTTTTTTCCCCCTGAATTGAGTTTTTTAAGGAATCTATTTAAAAAACATCCAGACAGAATCAGACAGGCAGACTAG